ATCTGTCACCCCACGTTTTAACCAACCCGTCGAGACTAGTAGAAAGGATATTGTTGTTTACTCCTTATTTATGAATATGTGGGGAAGAGTTATGGGGGCATGGGGTAGCGCCGATAAATTTACATTTCAAATGGTTTGGTGGAGTCGGTGGGCACACTCAGCATGGGTTTTGTGTCAAAGAATTTCAAACAATTTGATCCGGGTATATGATCCTTGACGAATGCCTTCTTTTGATGAAAAACCGGATTCTTGGGGGAGATTTAATGGGCTTGAATTTATTGAGTGACTCGGGATCTGGGAGTTATTCCAAATATTTACGTTTTGGAAATCAGGGTTTTGGGAGTTTTAATTGAGGGAGATGGGGTGGGGCAAAATGGGCACTTTTCAATTTCGGATCAATTTTCATGGCTTAGAATTGAATAGATCAATTGAACCCAGTCTAGGCTCAAAACAAAAAAGAAGACTTGTGCTTTCCACAGAAAAAACCATTATTCGATTTCGTAAACAATTTAATGAGTCAGTGATTGTGAAACAAAGTGTCAAATGTCCATTCGGCCTCTGAGAATAATAAAATCGTGGTTTTTTTTAATTGATAAAGACAAAAATTGTAATGAAATGGTAAGGTATTGATTGAGTTCATTATTTTTTAATCTAATTATTAAGAAATCACATTGACAAACCATTTTTGAATTCGATCATCGGGAAATTTTCACTTTTCTTTCAATTTTCATGCCTTAGAAACAAATTGATCAATTTGACCCAGTCTAGGCTCAAAACAAAAAAAAAGACTTGTGCTCCACAGAAAAAACAATTATTCGATTTCATAAACAATTTAATGAGTCACTGATTGTGAAACAAAGTGTCAAATGTCCATTCGGCCTCTGAGAATAATAAAATCGTGGTTTTTTTTAATTGATAAAGACAAAAATTGTAATGAAATAGTAAGGTATTGATTGAGTTCATTATTTTTTAATCTAATTATTAAGAAATCACATTGACAAACCATTTTTGAATTCGATCATCGGGAAATTTTCACTTTTCTTTCAATTTTCATGCCTTAGAAACAAATTGATCAATTTGACCCAGTCTAGGCTCAAAACAAAAAAAAAGACTTGTGCTTTCCACAGAAAAACCAATTATTCGATTTCATAAACAATTTAATGAGTCACTGATTGTGAAACAAATTGTCAGATGTCCATTCGGCCTCTGAGAATAATAAAATCGTGGATATTTATTATTGATAAAGAAAAAAATTGTAATGAAATAGTAAAGTATTGATTAAGTTCATTATTTTTTAATCTAATTATGAAGGAATCATATTGACAAAGGATTTTTGAATTTGATCATTGATTGAGTGATTAGTGTCTAGTCGTTTTTATCCCAAATATTTACGTTTTGAAAATCAAACGTTTTGGAGTTTTTGGGAGATCTCATAGTGAGTTGTTAATTGAGGTGGAAGTAGAGGGGGGTGGGGCAAAATGGGCACTTTTATATCAATTTTCATGGCTTACAAATGAATTGGTCGATTGAACCCAGTCTAGGATCAAAACAGAAAATATTTTTTAAATTTCTTTCTTTCTTCTATTTTACCTCCTTGTCCCTGTGTTTATAACAAAAGAATAATAAAATCATGAATAGTATAGTTGATAAGGGGAAAGAATTAGTATTGATCAAGGTAATCATTTTAAAGGCCATGAACATGCAAAATTTAATTTAATAACATTTAATCTAATTTCTTACGGAATGATATTGACAATGGATTTTTGAATTCGATCATTCAACATGTTCTTCAAAGTTATATGAAAGTTGATATTTATGTTAGGCTTGAATTGATCGAACGATTAGTGTATCTAATCATTTTTATTCTAAGTATTTGGTTTTTCAAAATTTGCACTTTTCCCATTTCTTTCAATTTTCATGCCTTAGAAACAAATTGATCAATTTAGCCCAGTCTAGGCGCAAAACAAAAAAGAAGAATTGCACTTTCCACATGAAAACAAATCATCCCATTTCATAAAAAATTCAATGAGCCATTAACATTGGTAAAATTGCCACCAGTGTCCATTTTGCCATCTTGCACCTATGTTTGTAACAAAAATAATAAAATCATGGTTATTTAGAGTTGAGAAAGGAAAAAAATAGTAATGAAATAGTAAAGTATTGGTTGAGATTATCGTTTTGAAGGGCATGAACATTCAAAATTTAATTTAATAAAATTCAATCTAATTATTAAGGAATTATATTGACAAAGGATTGTTGAATTCGATCATTCAACATATTCTTTAAAATCATCTGAATGTTGATATTTATGTTAGGCTTGAATTGATTGAGTTCATGAGTGTATTTATTCATTTTTTTCCCAAATATTTACATTTTTAATCAGAATTTTCGGGACAAAATCACTTAGTGAGTTGTTAATTTATATAGAAATATGTTCATTCGAAAAAAAATTTTGATGCTTGTTAATAAATGGAAAAAATTAGTATTGATTGAATTAATCCTTTCGACAGGCACGAATATTCAAAATTTAATTTCATGAAATTTCATCTAATTACTGAGGAATCACATTGGCAAGGGGTTTTTGAATCCGATTATTCAACATATCCTTCAAAATCACCTAAAAGTTGATGTCTATGCTGTTTCAATTGATTTATTCAGCTTATGAGCGTATTTATTCTTTCATAATTAAATATTAACTTATACATTAATTATTATTATTAATTCATTCATTCATTCTTTCCCAAATACTCCGTTTTTAAGTCAGAATTTTCAAAATGAGATCACTTAGTGAGTTGTTAATTTAGCTAAAAATAAGTTTATAACAAAAAAAAAAGAAAAATATTTGTTCAGAAAGGAAAACAATTAGTATTGATTGAGATAATCATTCTGAAAGGCCCGAACATTTCCAATTTAATGTAATAAAATTTCATTTGATTGTTAAGGAATGAGATTCAAGAAGCATTTTTTAATTCAATCATTCATCCTATTCCTTAACATCACTTTTGATTTACGTCTTGAAAATCAAAATGTTTGGTGACAAGATCACATATCGAGTGTCCATTGCAGAAACAAATTAATTGTTATTTGGCATGAACATTAAAAATTTAATTTACTAAAGTTAAATCCACCTATTAAGGAATGATATTGACAAAGCACTTCTGAATTCGATCACTCACCACATCCTTCCCAATCCCCGGCAACTCAATATTTATGTTGAAAATATATACCATCACCAAGTCACTCAATGTTTTATTGATACTTTATTTTACAGGGGCTGGAAATAGTGAGGCATCATGTTGTTGTACGAATGGGCGCATTGCTGTTAGCGCCATTCGGACAAAGCCCTCTCCCAAATCCTCTTTTCTCAAAATAACAGAAACAAAAATATAACTCCATTTTCACCCTTTTAACGAGCCAAACAACCAATCGCTCCAGAATATAAAGAAAAAAAAACACCGTTACCTCTCTATCCCCTGCATGTTTCATCACAATTCACTGATACGAGATGATATACTCTGGACTGAGACCCTTTCCCATACTACTGGCAGTGCCACCTCCACCGCGGTTGCAAATGTCCCTGACAAAAGGGCCGAAAAACAGTGCAATAACATTGTCACTTTGTCGAGCAATTTTCATCGTCACTGTATTAACAACGATTGCAAATGCAACTACAATTCCCTCACCAGCACCCTCCTCGTCATACCTCTACTCATCGCCAGTGCCATCGGTACCAGGACCACTGCCCTCATCCTTATCATCATTATCCTCCCTCCCACCGCCACTTCAATCACCCCAAGATGAAAATCCCCACGTTGTCGCACGTTTTCCATCCCTCCACCATCGCCTCGAGTTGAGTAGACTCGATCCAAACTTCACACGTGAGGGTCCTCTCCGTTTCAATCATCTCACGATTGATCCAACAACTGGTCGCCTGTATGCTGGTGCCATTAATCGTCTTCTACAATTGGATAAAAATCTTCAATTGGAGGAGATAGTATCAACCGGTAAGTATTTACATTACAATTAATGAACCCTCCTGTAATTCAACTCCACTCTAAACATCATGTTTCATCAAATGATTTATTTATGATGTAAAAGGTCCCAGACCGGACAATCCCCAGTGTCACGCAACCGGATGTATGTCCAGAGAGATGACTACTTCGTTAATGGACAACGTGAATAAACTCCTAATACCTGACCTTGAGTCGGGTACCCTAATAGCATGTGGCTCGCTGCTTCAGGGGGCATGTGAAAAGTACAAAATGTCGAATATATCGATAAAACCCGAATTTGTACCGCACAGTGTAGCTGCCAATGATGAAAATTCATCAACCTACGCATTCATTGGCCCAGAGCGTTATAATCCCTGGGGCAGATCAAATGTCCTCTACGTTGGTACAACATTCACCAACATTGGTGAATACCGTCACGATGTACCAGCAATATCAAGCCGAGATCTTTACACCCTTGAATTCGCCAAATATACATTCAACAAGCAGTCAATACTGCACATTGACGTTAAATACAGAGATCACTTTCTCGTTAAATATGTTTATGGTTTCAACGCTAGTGATTATGCGTACTTCGTACTGGTACAAAAACAATCATATTTACCTGAACAAGAGGAGCTCGGTTATATATCGAGATTAGCCCGTAGTTGCATAAGTGATCCAAATTACGACAGTTATACCGAAGTTACGTTGCAGTGTTCCGTTGATGTTGGTAATGGTACACAACAGATATACAATCTTGTACAGGATGCTAAAGTTGCTGCTGCTGGTAGTGATTTAGCAATGCAACTTGGTATACCAATTGGTGATCCTGTATTTGTATCTGTTTTTTCACCAAGCAAGGGAATAACAAACGAGGCATTACCAAAATCAGCAGTTTGTGTTTACTCACTACAGGAGATTGAAACAAAATTCAATGAGAACATACACATGTGTTTCAATGGTAGCATCAAATATCGTAATATGGGATACATAAGTGGACCCATACAAGACGGTGAATGCCCAGTGGCTGGTACTACTGGTAATATATTAAACTTCTGCGAAGTTGGATTAAAAATATCAGGTGTATCGCCTATTGTTGGACAAGCGGTAATCGATTTTCCAGACACCTTTGTAACATCTATAACCGTTGCTAACACTGAAACACACACTGTTGCATTTCTCGGTACAAGCGATGGTGTATTAAAAAAAGTGCTGCTATCGGGCTCTGAGTCATCGGTTTATGAGAGCATTGTAATCGACAGTGAGCAAAAAATACTTCCTGATATGGTTTTATCACCCAGTGGTGATTACATACACGTACTGTCAACAACGAGAATAGCTAAGGTCAGAGTTGAGCATTGCAGTGGTTACACTAGTTGCTCGAGTTGTTTGGATGCTAAAGATCCATACTGTGGATGGTGTTCACTTGAGAAGAGATGTACAGTGAGGGGTGCATGCCAGAAAGCAAGCAGAAGTAGTCCAAGATGGCTGTCACTGAGTACTGGTCAACAGTGTATTGATTTTGAGCAAGTTTTGCCAGACCGTTTGCCCATAAAGCAAATGACATCGGTTCAATTAACAATTAGAACACTACCAGAATTGCCCTCCGGGACTAATTACAAATGTGTCTTTGGCAATGCTGAGCCCATCAATGCTGTGATGAAGGGCTTTGGATTATCCTGTCCAGCACCACCGGTACCACAACGACCTAATATACCCGATGGCACTGATCACGTTCTTGTTCCACTATCTGTACGCTCCAGCGAGACAAATAAAGACTTTGTGTCGCGAAATTTTGCCTACTTCGATTGCTCGAGACACACTGTCTGCTCTGAGTGTGTTAAAGCCCAGTGGGCATGCAGCTGGTGTGTATACGATAACAAATGCACCCACAACACCAGTGGGTGTCAGGGTAATATCATCTCAGGGGATAATCATAGCCAGGCAACACTAGCTGCCCACGGTGTACAGTACTGTCCACGTTTCTCTCGTCGTGACGAGCCTCTAATGCTACCCAATAATGTGCCCAAAGAGATTATTCTCGAAGTTGAAAATCTACCCCATCCCCAAATTGGACACACTGGCTTTCAGTGTATCGTTACCATTGAGGGCGCCAACTTGAGAGTACAAGCGCGTGTTGATAGCAGTCGGTTCATTGTTTGTGACAAAACGATATATTCTTACGAAGCACTTACTGGTGAATATGAAGCGACAGTGACGGTTGTGTGGAATACAAATCATCACGTTGACCGTACGAAAATTATTCTGTATAAATGTGAAGTGCTTGGATCACATCGTGAACACGCTGACTGTTCTTTATGTATGACGAGGGATCAGAGATTCGAGTGCTCTTGGTGTGGTAATAGTTGCACGTATAAACACTCGTGTCTATATTCACCATTTGCCGAATGTCCAAAGCCGAGAATCGACATGATAAGGCCATTGAGTGGTCCCATTGAGGGTGGTACACTGGTTACAATCGAGGGAAGTAATCTTGGGCTCAAAGAAACCGATGTATCTGATAAAATTCACATTGGCAAAACACCTTGTACATTAGTTGATTATGAAGTTTCGGTTAGAATTGTTTGTCGCACTGGTGAGAGAAAAAATACTGATACTGTGACTGTTGTCGTTGGTAATGACGCTGGATACACTGAGAGTGCTGTTTTATTTCACTACAAAGACATCAAATTGTCCGGTATATATCCGTCCGTTGGGCCACAGAGTGGTGGTACACAAATTGCTATAACTGGTAAATACTTGAATATTGGTAGTACAATATCAGCTTATCTCGATGAATTACCGTGTCATGTTAATGCAACACAGGCTAGTAGCACTAGGTTGACGTGTGTTACGAGTAAATCAGGACGTGTCAGGAGAATACAAAAATTAACCCTCAGCATTGACGGGGCTAATCGTACATTAACGGGAAATCCATTCAATTATACCCAGGATCCAACAATTATGGAGATCAAACCATTGCGGAGCTTTGCATCGGGTGGTAGAATGATAACAGTACATGGTACAAATTTGGATACCATTCAGAAGCCAGAGATGGAGGTTTATTTTGATAATGAGATTAAGCCGGTGAATAGAACAATTTGTACTGTGTTGAATCCAACGCAGATGGAGTGCCCGAGTCCAAGTATAGCTGAGAAATTCGCTAATAGGCATAGGAGAGTTAGAGCTGTAAGATCGCTTCACAAACATGGTACAACATTTTCATCGCTACGGGCAGGAAATACCGAAAATGAGGTGGCACTGAAGATAGCTTTTGTTATGGATAATGTGGAGAGTGTCAGGGATCTTGAGAAACACTTTCAAAATTTGAGAAATCGTTTGTCGTACGTCGAGGATCCCAAGTTCTTTGCATTTCCCCAGATGATTAAGAATTACAAGGGTGATACTCTGGTGATTGAGGGTGAAAATCTCAATTACGCGAGTGATGAGACTGATGTCAATGTCACTGTTGGTACAGCATTGTGTAATGTCACATCACTAGCGCATGCACAACTTGTTTGCACACCACCAGATCAACAGCCAGCTGCTACAGATGAGATGGGAATTAAAACAGAACGTGGACTGCCTCTAGTCGTTGTACGTGTTGGACGTACACTACGTTTTTCCATCGGTTATCTTCACTATGAAGTGATAAAGACGTATCCAATACCACCTGAAGCAATAGCTGGTATTGCAGCTGGTACATTTGGCCTTGTATTTCTCTTTGTTCTTGTACTAGTTGTTTATAGGAGAAAGAGCACACAGGCTGAGAGAGAGTACAAGAGGATACAAATACAGATGGATACGTTGGAGAGTAATGTCAGGATGGAGTGTAAACAGGCGTTTGCTGAATTACAAACGGATATGACTGATCTCACTGCTGATTTAGAGTCATCTGGTATACCAACGTTGGATCACAAGAATTACATTATGAAAGTCTTCTTCCCTGGGGTTATTGATCATCCCATTCTGAATGACCCACGATCGAGAAACAATGCTAGAACTAATTACGACGCTGCTATGATACAATTTGAAATTCTCGTTAACAACAAGTGTTTTCTTCTTACTTTTATCGATACCCTTGAGACACAGAAAGACTTTAATATAAGGGACAAAGTGAATGTTGCTTCACTGCTTATGATAGTACTCATGAATAAGATGGAATATGCAACGGATATACTGATGAATCTCTTAATTAGACTTATTGAGAAGTCAGTAGATACCAAGTATCCTCAACTGATGTTAAGACGCACTGAATCGGTTGTTGAGAAGATGCTTACAAATTGGATGGCACTCTGTATGTACAATTATCTTAAGGATTACGCTGGTTCGTCATTATTTTTATTGTTTAAGGCTATTAAGCATCAGATTGAGAAGGGGCCGGTTGATGTTGTAACTCATGATGCTAGATACTCGCTCTCTGAGGAGAGATTACTACGCGAACAGATTGATCACAGTGTTGTGACGTTGCATGTTATGCAGGACGATTTGGATGAGAAGATTCAGTGTAAAGTTCTTGATTGCGACACGATAAGTCAAGTCAAGTCGAAGATACTCGATGCATTGTACAAGAATACACCGTTCTCGTTGAGGCCATCGATACACGAGGTTGATCTCGAGTGGCGGCACGGGAGGGGGGGACATTTGACACTGCAGGACGAGGATCTGACGACCAAGTGTGCTGGTGATTGGAAGAAAATCAATACACTGGCACATTATGGAGTCAAAGAGTCAGCTGTTATGTCACTGATACCGAGACAAAATGATGCATTCTCGGTTGGTTGCAAGACTTATCACAAGGGTTCATTGAGAAATCATCATCATTATCATCGGCAATCTATGAATCGTCTCAATCACTGTTCAACTGGACATTTACCATCGACACCGAGTCATGGATTAATCAGTCCCATTATGTATCCACATCCACCGGGTATTTATTTCGATACACAACACACACCATCACTCATAACGGCTAATGGTGATATCGAGAGTGGAGTTAATCAGAGGCTCTGGCACTTAGTTAGACCAATTGAGGATACTGTTTGTCCACAAACTATTGGATTTACTAATAGCAAACATAATCATCATCATCATCATCCGGAGAGAACGCACAAAGCTATACCCGAGATATTTCTAACGAGGTTATTGTCGACCAAGGGAACTGTACAGAAATTTGTCGATGATTTTTTCAATACTGTTCTCACTGCCAATGATGCATTACCGTGCGCCGTTAAGTGGCTCTTTGATCTGCTTGATGATGCTGCCAAGCAACATTCGATATCAGATCCAGAGGTTGCACATGCGTGGAAATCAAATAGTCTACCACTCAGATTTTGGGTTAATTTTATTAAAAATCCAGACTTTATGTTTGATATTAATAAATCAACGACTGTTGATTCGAGTCTCTCTGTCATTGCCCAAACTTTCATGGATGCTTGTTCGACAACTGAGCACAGGCTTGGCAAAGATTCACCGTCAAATAAATTACTATTCGCCAAGGATATACCCCATTATCGGGAAAAAGTTGGACGTTTTTATCAGGACGTACAGAGATTACCAACTATTACCGATCAGGATATTTCCAGTGCCATGCAGCAGTTGAGCGATTCTCATGCCAATGAATTTGACGTTATTGCTGCGCTCAAGGAGCTCTACATTTACGTCAGCAAATACTACGAACAAGTGAGTGGAATTTACTTTATGCTTCAATATCATGGGTGTTTTGGGTGATATGCGGGGGAATGAGATGAGTCCATTTTATTTGAGGGTGGGTTTTTGATGAATATCTTTGGATATGAGGGAGATGGGAATTCTCACAACGTTTACAAAAAATATTGGTGCGGAAATATGGAAAGGGAGCCGTCACTCGGGTGTTATTTGACTTGTGTTTACTCAGGGCTAGTCGATAATAAGAATAGAACGCGCATGGAGGCATTGAGACGCGGGTTCTCGGTATACACACGGAGATATGACGCTTTTGAATGCAATAAATCATTTTATTTTGATGTTTTCAAAGCATTTTAACAATATTTTTTTAGTCATATATTCAGAGAAAAATGAATTAGTTCTCACACAAGTCTTGTTTAGGCCAACAAAATCGGTAGTTGAAAATTATCAAAAAAGAAATTGTTTAATTCGAATTGAAAAGTCTTATACATGAATAATTTTTCTGCTTTCGACAACAACGAAATATTTGGCTGACGGCGCTGTTTCAGGATGAAAATATCTCATACAAGGGAAACTATCAACAAATATTTTCTCCCCAAGTTGCAAGATTGCTATTATATAATTACAATCATTTCATTTAAGGTTTCATTTCTTGCTTGTAAATTCATTTTTTTGGAATTACTAAATCCATTCCGATGAATTCAATTTAGTTTCTTTGATGTTACAAAAGTATTCTTTGTTTAACATCCACACTAGCCCTTCTTGTCAGTCCACTTAACTGTAATAGTGTTATTTTATTTCAATTTGATAGATCAATTGTTTACACCCATGAAAGTTAGATTTCATTGGAAAAATTATCAATGAAAAACAATTTTTCTTTTATTTTTGAATTTATTTTGCCTCGTTACACTCAACGACCCAACTGGAGTTTATTCCTACTACACGGGAGAAATATACAATTTTTTTTTACTGTGGGAACATGGTAATCGAGGACCATACCTGCCACACTCAAAATTTATTGTTGAACATGGTAAAAATGTGAGTCGGAGTAACAGAAAGTGGTAGAATAAAAGTTTAATTTGGCAGGAGTTGAAATTCGATTAAGAGGAGACTACTATGATTTTTAAAATTCGCGGGCTATTGGAGGATTAAAAATAGTCCAGGGCCTTCAATTTTTGGGTTACAGAGCTCAGTTCAGTAGCGAAGTGGTAAAACGGCATAAGTCAATTTTGATTATTGACCATTTTTCAACAAATATCTTGGAATCTAAGGGAGATGGCAAAATTTTTTTGTAACCTTTTTTGTAGAGCCGATTGAGAGCTATAATAAATGTAATTACAAAATTTCGCTATCACCGTTAGATTCGGAAATATTCCCCAAAAACTCAACTGGGAGATAAGTCGACTTGAACCGGTTTACCACTTCGCTACTGAATTGTTTTTTTTTTTTCAAAATGTTTGAAAAACAGTGGTACAATAGCAATTACGACTTAGTTTTTTGAAATTCGACTTCTACACAGATGATTTCGTCTTTTTTTATTCGAAAAATTGGACCATTCATGGGAAATTGCCAGAAAAATGATACTCGAAATATTTAAAATACATTCTCTAATAGTCAGAAACGTTTTTCTGGCTAGTTTACATGAATGCTGCAATTTTTTATATTAGAAAAAATGAAATTTTATATTCTCTCCTTATACTTCGAATTGAAAATTGGCATCTTTTTTCAGGAAGCTCGTAAAAATTGGGGCATTTTAGAAGTCGATTTTGATGAAAATTTCATTTTAGAAAAAAATTGACGTGCTATTGAGTTAAAAAATAATTGAACATTGGTTTGAATGAGAGTTGTCAATACACGGAGAGAAATTTTTGATAAAAATTATCCCTACCGCTCTATAAATGTGTATCATGAGTCATCGTTTCCTCATTTCTATCCCGAAATTTAGTAAAAATTAATATATGATGATCAAATTTTATTCTACGTTAGAGAAATTTTATCCTGATAAAAATAAAAATTACCGTGCCGGTAGAGTAAAAATTAATGTACCGATAGGGTAAAATTTACCAACCGTTCTAGAATTTTCGTTGTTATCTACATAAAAATTATTGGACTGGAAGGGTAAAATTTATTATGCGTCAGGATAAAATTTCTCTAACGTAGAATAAAATTCGATCATCATATATTAATTTTTACGAAATTTCGGGATAGAAATTTGCTTCTCAAATGCACATTTGTTAACTATTAACGAATGAACAGTCGGTGAGACCGAATCGACCCTCGTCTCCAATCAAATCCATTCGTTAACAATAACTAATCCTTTCTATCGGTGTGTACGAAGAATTTACTATCTGCCTTTGACTCCAAGATGTTTTCCAAAAACTGATCTTCGATAATATTATCACGTTTTACTACTTCATTACTGATGTGTCGTCTTCCATTATCTCTATATAAAGAGTTTACTACCTGCCTTCGACTCCGAGACATTCTCCAAAAACTGATCTTCGAAGATATCACGTTTTATTATTCTTCATTACTAATTTGTCGTCTCTCATTATCTCCATGTTTGCTATACTTAGGAGAAAATGGGGCACAATGAAACGTCTGTGACGATCGCAGTTTGCGGAATATCACGTCATTGTCGTGTCCCAAAAAGCAGAAATGTTCATTCCCCTCGGATCGTTTGTTCAAGAGATATCAAAGATTTTATAAGGGTCATTCTGCCCCACCCTCTCACATGTTGTAATTCGCTATTATCACTAGTTTATTCTCCACTTCGATTACTTTGCTATTGGTTGAGAAATAAAATTTCGGTGAGATGAGTCATTTCAACTTTCGACACTCAACACTTTTATCTGAGGAAATTTATGGGAGACGTGAAACTTCTTGGCTCCGCCCGTGGTCGAATAACTCAAAATTTTTGCTAAACGGGAGAGGGTTGTATTTCACATTTTTAGGGAAATGTATGGGAGACTCTACCGCATCCTGGGCGGATATCCGGTGAAAAAATTCTCATCTTCATTCATTCATTTAATCCAATTTAGTGGTAAAGAGGTGAAAGGAGATAAGTTTAGAACAGATTCGCGCATTATTTTGCGAATCTCTTTGAGAGCACGAGGTTTAGGAGAATTTATTAGAAGAGATTTTTTGAGGGCCTTTTATAGGCTANGGGGGGGGGGGGGGGGGGGGGGGGGGGGGGGGGGGGGGGGGGGGGGGGGGGGGGGGGGGGGGGGGGGGGGGGGGGGGGGGGGGGTGAAACGGAAGGGAGTCCTATCGTTATCGAGCCCCGATTCAATCAGGTTTCATGCTCACTTTCAGGAAAATTCATGAAAAATTCGAAATTTTCAATAGTGATCATAAAAATCAAATCAACCAAAATAGCCATCGTAATCATCTTTTATCTTCGACGTAATGGCATTAATACAAACATTTTAAGCGGTGATTGAATTCATTTGAAGCATAACATTCAAAGATATTTCGGGAACTCCAATTTTCCAAAAATACCAAATTTTTGAAAATTTTCGAATAAATGAAAATAACAATTATTGCTGTCGCCTTCACCTTCGAACTCGGTGAAAGGGACATCCAAACTAATTTTTTAAGCCATCACCCAATCGATTTAGAAGATTTTTTTTCTAGTTATCGTGGGACAACCGATTTTTGAAAAAATTCAAAAATTGAAGGAAAACTTTACCACACACATACAGACATACCCACATACGTGCGGACACGGGCTAAAAATTGCATTTTCGGACTTTTTGGATCATAATGGGTCGATATAATACAAAAAATCCAAAACTTAAATTCAAACGATTACAATGCTTCCATTCGGAAGCAGAAAACTAATCGATGAATTAAATATTAATGAATGGCGATCCATAGGACTCAACAGTACCTTGAGAACATTTGAAAGAAAAGATTCAATTCTATCCGTTCATTATCCGTTCATTAACTAACAATGTTGTGGAGAGGATTTCGACCGAATTTTTAACTTGTATTTTAGTTTTGGCCTCTGCGGTCATTAGCTAATTTTACATGAAGGAAAACGTATTCTGTAGGTAATATGGTTGATGATTTATGCAGTTTTGTACATAATATTACGGGAAAAAAACTTGAATTGTGTATGAAATATACTAGAATCAAGAATAATATACTTGAATCAAGTGCACGGAGAAATATTCAATAAAAATTACGTATCTTTTGCGTAATTCCGGAGCGAAATGTGGTTGTAGGAAATTTTACGAAACTGTCACGGAATTTTTCCAGAGCGTTCCGTAATTTTTATCTGAATCTTCTGTGAAAAATTACGATACCGTCACCTAAATTTTCTGAATCGATTCCGTAATCGATGAGCGAACTGTGAGTTCCGTAATTTTTACTGAACATTTCTCTCCGTGTGTATTATATACTCGAATGAAGAATAATATACTTGAAGCAAGTATAATATACTTAATTCGAGTATATAATATACTTGATTCAAGTATATTTTATGCTCAATTGAAGTATATTTTTTTCCGTGTAGGTTTTAAACTGATATATATTTTGTATGTTTTGATTTGATTGTAGACATCAATAAAGAAACAAATTTTGTTAAGATCTATATTTCTGGAAATATTCAACTTTGAAAAGAGACATGCACTCACGCGTAGGTCAACATGTGGTATGAGCCTCGGACTTCAGGGGTTAATGATTCTCAACATGCGATTCTTCCGTTTCTAATAAGGCTTATTTGAAAATAAGTTTTTGTTTTCTCTCAGTCTCGATTTTATAAAGGCATATTGATGGTTCAACTACCCCATTTCCCCCTTAATATCTCATATGAGAGGATTGAAGATTTTGCAAATATTTGCTCTACATTCATCGTGAATCGAATCGATCAACTAATGAGAGAACGCGTAGAGAATTGTCACTTGAAGAAATAATCGATAGAAGTAAACATTATGGCGAGGGAATATTGGATTGGAAGAGAGAGACGTTTTCTCCTATAATCCCTCTAGTATACGAGAGCCTCAATTGTC